TAAGGACTAAACTATTCAAGTTGCTGGAGATTACGCTCATAGAATATGCCATCATCCTGAAACAAAAAAATCGAAGAAACCATAACAGTAACATCAACAATCGCCATTATAATAAGCCAAGAAGCTTGTATTGTATCCAATCATACTCATCATTGGTTTTATAACTCAAATCTGAAAGGGCAACCATAAATTGATTTTATAAGTCTCCAATGCAATCAAACACAGAAGCTAATTGGGAATCTGTTCTAAAGGAGAGATTCACATGCTTTTTCAAGAAAAACAAAGATCTTGAAATGTTGTAAGAAATTTCAACTAGAGCCGACCAGAAAACAGTTTGTAATGGGATTCATTCACACAAGAACAAAGCTTGGACAAATGTAAGAACAAAATAATCACACACGAACGGAGAAATTGACTTTTAGATAAATCGATACTACGCAAATTCGAGATATGAAACCGACACAGTTGTGAGTGGCTATAAGCCTATGATACAGAAGCTAGAATACATACTCACAATGTGTGTGACTGGTTCAGAGGATGCGCAAAACTGTCCGATTCCACAGGAAGGAAATTAGGGTTTCCTGGGATCAAATCTCGCAGAATTAGGGTCTCGTTTCTTCCAACAGTGATTCGATTACGAGAGGAAGATCGAAGGAGCTTGCTCGAGAGCAGATTATTGGAGAGAAAGAGGGCAGAGGTAGAAGAAGTAGGGAAAGGCCATTTTTTAAATTGAGCCCATTTTGTGTTATATGGGTTTTGGGTTGGTTTGAAGATAAAGAATACTCTTAAAAAAGTGATAAAAATTCGTATAACATAATTAGGCTTGAAATTGTGAATGATTATGCTGTCAATGTGATTTAGTTGTAATATGGTAGTTTAAAACTTTAAATTGTGAAGAAAAGTATTCAAACCAACTCTATGTATTCTAAGTGTTTTTCTTAACAAATCTGCGTGGACCATGTGCGTAGGCACCACTGCTCATCTTATTAGACGATACACTTAGCAACCAAAACAATAGCAATAGTAGCAGGAACCAAATTGATCAATCTTTCGGGTTATCATTAGTTTAAGACTGAATGTCTAGATTCACCTTTAATCAAATGCATGTATTTGTTCCTAAAATTCTCTTGTTGGTATCATCACTCACATTCTCACTATATATCATTTTGCATAAACCTATAAAAGGAAATGAAAACCCATGATACGTCACTATCATATTTCAAATACGACAATTGAATTCTCTTATTGAGGAAGATGTTACTCCTAATCTGGGTTTAGTCTAGTAGCCATGTTTAAGGTTATGCAAATCATGTTATTTTATATAATTACAACATCCAAATCCAATTCATGTTTAATTCTCAATAAAGCCATGGTTGAATCTTCTTTTAAAGTGTGACCAACAACCATAAGTAACAAACCTGTCAAAAATAATTAAAAATCTATAAAAACAAAAGCATGATTCAAACTGAAAAAAAGACATACTATTACAGTAAGTTTAGATCTGGTTTTTTGATAGAACAAAACAAGAGTTAGATCGGGTATTTAATTTCTTCAACAGTTTCATTAAATTCCCATATGAATAAATTATTCATCTTCTTTACTTTATCAATTGTTCACGTGACTCTGAAGCTTTTGCAGTCTCCGACAGCTACTCTCTTGTGTCCTGCATCCTTTTGTCACGTACCTCCTGCTCTCTTCACCTCTCTCTCTCCCTAGATGTTTAACAGAAGCCATCAAATCTCATATTCAAAATGCTTCTTTAGCAAATCAGAAATGCTTCGTTGTAACATACCCAT